CTTAGAGAAGGTAAGAATTTTCTGAGGCCCAGAGAGCACCATTTCTGGAGAGAGAAGGTTGTCCTTTAGTAATGGAGTTTAGACGCAACCCTAAATGGGTGAGAAACTATACGGTGGGGTTTAGGGAGGACAGAGGACTGAGGGAGAAAGGAGGATGCAAAACCCAGAATTTCCAGCAGGGGGCTGCTGAGGCAGTGTTGCTGCCTGCGGAAAGTGGTTCACTGAAACAAGACTTCACTGGTATTGGCTTTAGAGACGTATTTATTATGGTCCTGCCCTCTCTGCTGCCCAGGAGTGGGCGGTCTCTGTTAGGGGCTGTGTGGGGGATCAGGGCCAGGGCAGGCCTTGTTGTACCCCTAGGTCCCAGGACAGCAGCCTGCCTTTGACTCTTCTTTCCAGCTTGATCCACTCCAAGACTTTGTCTCCAATCATCAGGGAGACTCTGGTGATAACACTGCTGTGGGATGACTGACTCTTCCTTACCCTCTGCCCTTGGTCTACCCAGCGGAAAACATTAAACACTGGATTTGTGGACCAAGCTGTCCAAACTCTCAGGAGGAGGCATGAAGAGATCACTACTCCCATACCCCAGAACTCCCCAAGTTCCTCTCTCCTGGGACCTGTCAAGGTAAATGCTGGAAACCTGACCTCGATGTCAGTCCTTCTCTTCTCTGGATGTCCTACACAAATCTGGTATTCCTGCTGTATTATCCAGGGAAGCAGGACATGTGTTCCCATCATTGTGAACTGTCAGCTCCACCTTCTGCTGCGTAGTTGCTAAAGTGCCCATCTCCATGGCCCCCAGCCGGCCACAGCGCACTTCTGTCCTGGCCTTGGCGGGCTCTTGCCCCTGGGCAGGTAGAGGGGCTTCACAGCCTCGGTTGGCTCGATGTTTCTCTCCAGCTGATGGGGAAGAGGCAAGAGAGCCCGGGTCAGCCAGTGGCCTCTGGGCCTGGACATTGTGATGGGACACCTGAGTCACTGGGACCGGTCAGGCAGTCAGGATGGGAAGGAAGGAAGGGACAGATCTCAGAGGGGAAACAATGTGGACTCAGAAGAGCAAGAGCAACAGGAGGTTTTCTTACCTGCAGTAACATGATGTCATTGGAGATGTTCTTAGCATTATAGTCTGGGTGGGGGATGGCTGTTTTCACCCGGATGACCTGCTGGGTCTCCTCTTTCTCCTGGATGTTGTGGGCCCCCAGGGTGACAGTGATTATCCTGTAAGAGAGCAGACTGGGTGTTCCTGTGGAGACAGGGAGTCACAAGAGGCAGAGCCAGGAGCCCGTGGAGGGCAGTTGTTGGCCGGGGCAGGGAGGGGCTGCAGCTAGGGGAAATCGAGGCCACAGGAAGGCAAGGTGACTCTGCTTCTCAGGGACACTGAGGGTAAGGCCTCTGGGAACTTTTCCTGGTCCTCAGGTCATATCATGAAATCGCTCGAGTTTTCATTTTGACCCCAACGCATGCGTTCGTGGTCCACTGCTGCTTCATTTGGCCAGTGTGGCCCCTCTCTTCTCATCTGTTTCGCTTACTCTCACGTGTGGTTCTCTGAGCCCAAAGCCTACCTGTCCTACTTCTTATCCTTTCATTGCCCCAGCCATGGTCTCAGAGGGCTTCTCTGATGATCTGTGCTGGGCTTCAGTTCCAGGAGCCTGGGGAGCTGCCCTGGGCTGCAGCCCCTGGGATAAAGGACAGGGGTCCCTGTAGGGGTGTCAGGAGGTATAGGCTGGCTGCTGCCCCTCACCTTCCATTGCAGTGAGCAGCTGTCAGAACAAAGTTTTCTCGCAGAAGGACACCGCCACACCTAGACTTCCCATTATCTTGAATGGAAAGGCAGGCCATGTAGGGGTGGGAGTGGGGCTTCGCTTCACACCCCATGATCATTTTCTTTGAAGGATATGGCTTGAAGCTGGGAGAGCAGAAGGGAATGCTTGGGAAGGTGATGATTGAGGTGGGTAGCCAAGGGACCCTAAAGACAATGGTGGGTGGTGAGTCTCTTCTGTGGCCAAATAACCTTTTCCTTACCTCAAACCTTAGAATTCTCTTCTAAGAAAGGAAGTGCAGGGCTTGCTCTCCAAGTCCTACTCAGACACATGTATACAGGAGATAAGACCTATCCTGAAGATGGTAGAGCCCCAAGGGATGTGAACAGGACTCAATGAGTCTCCCTGACTCTCTGAGCTGGTGCTAACACCCCAACTGGTGCTATTTATAATCATCTACCCATGAGCTTATGGAGTTGGAGTTCTCTAAAATCCTCATGTCCTAGGGCCTAACATATCCTAGGTTCTCAGTAAACATTTTTGGCTACGTGAATGCATGGACTCCAATTAGCTTTTAGCCGATGTTTGGTAGGTTTCAAGGCCATGGGAATGAGACAGGGCACAGAGAGTGGAGCAGCCAAGGGCCTGGGAAGCAGGGAGGGAGTGGGCAGAAAATGGGCTGCTCAGGCCTGGGGCAGAGCCAAGGCAACCAGGAAGCTTTGTGGGCCGTCATCTGGCTGCACCCAAGATCGATCAAACCCTGAACTATCCTGGGCATGGACTATGGTCACATTCAAGATGAAGAGGAGACCAGTTGCGGGATGTCCATGTAAAAGGGAACTCCGTTCTATAGCTGTTCACTGCAGGGGAAGGTGAGAGTCCACAGCCAGCTGACATCTCCTGAGAAACTTAGCAGATTCTTAAGCTGGGGTCCAGTGACAGTTTCCACTTCTGTACCTGGTTTGTCTGAGGTGCCCTTTCCTAGCTGGGAATGAAGGATTTTAATGACTTGTCTTTTGTCGCTTCACATCTTTTGCCAAAAGCTTTTCTGTGAACAACTCAGTTTCTAGGTGATAAGAGAGAGGCTAACAGCTGCTAAACCTTTTTGCGCACACCCTCCCTCCTGGCCATCCTTGTGGAGTGTCTATCCAGCCTCAGGCTTATTAGTCTGAAGTTAAAATGGGAGCTGGCATTTGGAAAATTCCTGGGCTCAGTGGAGGAAAGTCCCTGCCTATACTGGGCAGAGGGGTCAGGAGTACAGGGCGGTTTGTGAGATGAGCTCCGGCCTCTGGAATGGAATGGAATGTCCCAGTGTCAGTGGGGTTAGTGGGGGGGGGGGGGGAGAGGGGAGGCAGAACAGCCAGCAAGAGCAGGAGGGGCTGCATGCCCAGGTCAGAGCTGCTGGTTTTTTTTTTTTTTTCTAGACACAAAGCCTCACAGGGAGCAAGGGAAGTGTGGCTCGGTCACCTCACATACCTCCTGGACTGTGCCCCTCTAGTTTGCTGGGTGTTATCACACAAGGGGGTTTGTTGAAGTTCTCTGGCCTGGTGAGGTGCCAACGGCACTGTCATCACAATTGCACTCTCTGCTAAGGCCCAAAACACAAGGAAGAAGGGACACAAAAGTGAAGGCTATGGCTGCAACCAGCAGAGGGCCTGGGACCTCAGAAGTCCCGGAAACAAAACTAAGGAGGTTTCCATTTCTCGGTTCCTGGCTCTTTTTCCATTCTGATGAAGTCATGAGTCATGACTCAGAATGCCAGGTCCAGGGATATCAGAGACACGGCTCCTGCCCTTGAGAAGCTGACAGTCAGCTGGAGTCGACTGAGAATCTGTGCTTAGAGTACAAGAAGGGAAGGACCATGGTGAGGGGTCTGCTTGGCGGTGTGAGGTAGAGGCTGGCTTGCCCTGGACTCAGCCAACTACCCCAAACGGTAATTCCACTTCCTGCACCCAGAGTCCAGTGAACCTGTCTCTGATGTCACTGTGTTGAGCAATCATAAACAATTGCAGACAGATTGTCCCAATACTCTCACCAATGAGGTGGTAGAAGAAAGAGTAATGGAATGGAAGGCATTATGAGTTCTAAACAGCACAATCCCGATTCTGTGTATGGAACAACATCTCCTGAATACATAGAGGAAGAGTGGAAAAGCACACACTCAAGCATCTGTGATGATGACCTCTGGGTGGTGGAATTTTAAGTAATTTTCAATTTCTTATTTACCTGTTCTGCGTTTAACTGTTTATCTATGATGGATATGTATTACTTTCATACCTAAAATATACTTTCCCATAGTCCAAGCACACTCATCAATGGCAGATATTTGGTAGACCACTTTTTTTTTAGCCTCTCCTTCTGTAAATTTTATGTTTTAAAATGAGATTCCCTTTCTTAATCCAGTTATATAAAAAATATTTGAGTTTCCTTTGCATGCACGCATGCGTGTGCGCGCACACACAGGGGTCAATGGGAGGTGGGGACCGACTGCAGGCAGGTGGGCCGCCAGAGCACCAGGGGCTGCCCTGGGCTCTGGCCCAAGGCAGGGCTGTGATAGGGACTTGAGCTGGGCCTGTGAGTATGGAGGGCCCTCCTGAAACTTCTCAGGCTTTCAAGCTTCTCCAGTTTGTTGGGGGGAAAGGGAGAGGGGAGGGCTGCATGGGGTAAGCTATACTTTTCCAAAATCTCCCCACCCATTTCAGTTAGGGTGAAAAAGAGGCCCTTTACCCTAGAGCTTCTTAGGAAATCCTCCATCCAATTTTGGGATTCTTTTATGTTGCATATGGGCGTTGGGGTTGTGTGGGGTAGGAGTGCAGCTATGGTTTGAAGAAGGAGGGCAATAGGGATGAGATAAGATAAGAGGGTGCCCTTTTCCTGGGGGATGTCTCCCTTTTCCTGACAGAGCTAACATTCAGCCTTGCAGAGGGAGCTGGCACTGGGGAAGTATATTTGCAAGGAGCTGGGTAACAATGCAGCATGACTTCTTATTCTAGATGTGGAAGGTGCAGTATCCTGAAGGGGGGTGCCTCTAACAAATCAGAAATGTGAACAGATGGTGGTTGCCAGACACACAGTGGGTAATTAACAAAAGCTTAGTGAATAAAGGAGGAATCAAGTGATTTTGACGTGAGGGATGCAAGTTCATTATGTGTCTGGCAGCCTGCCCCCCATCCCCTCTGCACAGTGCAGTTCTGGTCTGTGCCCCAGAGGAGACAGAAGGACCAATTCCAGGGTGCCTCAGTCCGGTCTTTGCAGCTGGAGACGCCTCCTTGTTCTTTCTATCCGGGGCAGAAAGCTGGAGATCCTAGTGTAGACACGCGGAGGATTCCCATTGTTTTTTCCCAAGGGAACTATGCCCTGGGCCACGTTGTCACACACGAAGGGGCCCCCAGAGTCTCCCTGTAGGCAGAGGGAGGAAGGGCTAAGTTGCTCTGGAGGAGGGTGGTCTCTGTTAGGGGGCTGTGTCGGCGGTCAGGGTCAGGACAGTTCTTGTCATTTCACTAGGTCTCGGGTCTTCAACCTGACTCTGATGGTCTCTTCCCCACCCCCTTCTCCCTAGGAAGCCTCTGCCCATAAGTGGCTGTGGGACAGCCTCTCATCTTCCCCCAGGAGATGGGACCGGAGACTGGATTGATGGGAAGGTTGAGGATACAGGGCTATAGCTAGTTCCCACTGTTCCAGGTCCTCATGCAGCTTGGGTGTGCCCAGGGCCGGGCCGGGACAAGGCTGGGGATCTCACCGAAAAAGAAGACTGATTCTTTTTTTGGGTCCCCCACACATATCTGTGTGGCTTTGCTGTAAAACCTTTTGTAGTAAGAGATGCAGAGCTCGTCCCTTTGGACTTCCAGGTCTACCTCGTGCAGTTTGTTCGTGGTGGTGTTCATGTCGAGGCGCCCCGAGCTGGCCATACTGCATACCATGTCTGGCTTCACTTCCTCTCCCCTCCTGGGCAGCCTGAGGAGGCTCACGATGGCAGTCGGTCTGGCCTTCTTCTGCAGCTAAGGGCAGAGGAGAGGAATTCTAAACTACCAAGGGCCCACAGACACCAGGGACACTCAGGGGGTTGCTTCTTCAGGGCCCTGGGACAAGTAAAGGAGTCCTACTGGGAGGAAGGACAGAAAGGAGGTCACAGGAGATGCAAAACCCCAGGACTGAGGTGCCCAAGAAAGAGTGGAGACATGGGTCCTACCTGCAGTAACATGATGTCATTGAATCTGGGACAGTAGCCTGGGTGGGCAATGGCTGTTTTCACCAGGATGATCTGCTGGGTCTTCTCGTGCTTTTTGAAGTTGTGGGTCTCCAGGGTGACACTGATTGACCTGCACAGAGAGCAGAGGGAGACACGGAGTCACTGTAGATACAGCCCATGGGCTGTGAAGGAAAGAGGACAGCTGGGGACAGGGGAGGACTCAAGTGGAGAGGAATTATAGGGGACAGGACCCTGGGGCTACGCATTTCTGTGTCTTCTGCTTCTTGGCAGCTTGGGCTAGTTCCTGGCGCACATTTAGGCTGCTCAGCCGTGTGTACCGAACTTGCCTGCTGTAAGGAAAACCTCGAGTTTCTCACATTTGTATCCTGGGCTCCAAGGCACAACCTTGGCCTCTTCTCTATGCCACTTTGATCAGTCCCTCCTGTCTGCAACAGGCCACTTAGAGTGAACTGTCCCTCTCTCCCCAAAGCTTACTTATTCTCTGAAGTGCTCTGCTGTGCGACTAGGTCTGTGGCCCCTGAGAAGAGGGTGCCCGGTGAGGTAGCTGCAGAAGGGTGGGGGCCCAGCCTTGGCTCCTCACCTTCTGAAGCAGTGAGCTGCTGTCAGCACGAAATCCTCACGCACAAGGAAACCCCCACATCTTCTACGTTTTGGAGTTGTGATCTGAATAAGTACCATGTAGGAACAAGAGTGAGGCTTGGCTTCATGCCCTCCAATTACTTTTCCCTGAAAGAAAAATTCTACTTTGCCTACTATGCTCATGGAGCCATACGCTGGAGAGGGGGAGACTGGGACAGACAAGAGGAGGGCAGGGAGGAGTTGGGTGGCAGACAGTGGGGTCTATAGTCATCAGCTGTCAGCCATAATGAAGAAGGGATTCTGCAGGCTTCTTGGGTAACATTCCTGGCTTGCCATGTGGCCTGCAGGATTCAGATTCTCTCTCTGACAGAGAGAAGAGCAGCCCTGATTCCTTCACTCCTGTTGCAGTCACGTATGCGGGCAAACAGGATTTGCGTTTGGAACAAGTGGCGGAGGGCCTGCAGAGCCTGGGAAATCCTTCCCCTGTGCTCCCTGGGTCCTCTCTCCCTGCTGTTTCCCAGACTCACTGAGCTGCTGCTGGTCTCTGATATTCAGAACACTGTGACTGAAAAATTACCAGAGAGAACTTGAGACTGAAGCAGCGCAGCACAAGTATTAAAAGGACCGGGATGCCGCCAACTCTGGGATCAACTGGGTCTTCAGCTTCTTTACAAATCTTGGAGAATGGGGTGGAGACAGGGAATATTTTAAGACATTTAGTTAGAACGTTAGTAGGCCTTGCTTTGATTACAGAAGCCAGCCCCTTTTTCCAAGATACCATTTCCTGGGGAATTATTTCTCATTCCCATCTCCCAACCTTCTTCCAGATGGCCTTGGAAAACAAAACAAAACAAAACAAAACAAAACAAAACAAAACAAAACTCACTTTCCAGATCACAAGGGAAGGGGAGAGCGCCCATGGGCCCCCTGGAGAGCAGCCTTCTGCCCTGTCATTCCTGCTGAGTTTTTGTTTAGCATCAGATTTGCTGGTCTTTGAGGAAGGTTGTCCCTAGAGCTGAGAAAGTTCCTGGGCATGGACCAGGGCCAGGATGAGTCTCAGTGTAGCATCTGAGCATGCTGTGCCCGTGTGGCATGGGACTGGGCTTCTGTCTTCATAGTCACTCACCTGCCTCTATCATGGTGGCCAGAAGAAAGGCCATCAGGAGCAGAAGTGGCTGCATCTCCTTAGGAAGGCTGCCCAGATCAGAGCTGCTGGTGCTTTCTCCTGGTCTTCTGACATCTGGGTTCTCTGGTGTTGTGGTCCTGGTCACATAAGGCTCTTTCTTTGAGTGTAGGCCTGATTGGAGTAAGGTCTTATCAGTAACCACATAAACACCTGTAGCCCTTGACTCAGTGCTGAATCCACCAGCTGGAAACAGGAACTGCAGACCACACATAGGGCAGTTGATGTGGCTGCATCAGCCAGTAGCCAGTCCCTGAGCCCCAGTGTTGGAAATGCCCTGTCTGGTTTCAGGACCTGTAGTCCCGCTGACAGACGGGAGGACCACAAAGCTGGAAATAATCAGGGAGGCCTTGGAGAAACAGACTCCTGAGGAGACATAACCTGTCCCCCTGGCAAGGGCGTAGCTCCTGCCTCTCTGCTTGGTCCTGTGATGGTCGCTTGTTGATGATGGGTAAGTTATCTCATGCAGAGATAACAACCTAAGCCAGACATCAATTGGTATGGGAAGCAGACAAGAAATTGGGGGACACAGAGAAAGGGCAAAAAGGCCTGCACCCCTCAGCTCACCTTGGACATGGCCAGAGTCCTCAGTTCATCTGAAAGAAGTCTCCTTGTCTCTTGGTGGCTCCTTCCCCTATCCTGGCTCAGGCTTGAAACAATATTGGAGCCAGTCCTAAACCAAATCTGGCAGTTCCCAGGGAAATCAGGCCTAAAAGTAAATTCTTTAAAGTGTGCTTTTTTCTTCCCTCAGAAGCTCTAGCCATCTCATGCTGGGAAGGAAATTTACATTATTCACCGGCTCTAACCCTCTACCCTTAGGCACTCTTATGTTTACTATGCTCTCCTGTTTAGACATCTCTCTTGTTTACTAGTCTCCTATCATGTAAATTGGTGTTTTCCTGCCATTTGTTTTCTTCAAAACATCACCCATTCTCTGTGTACATTAACATACTAATGTAATGAGATAACCTGTGTGTTCCTGTTACCTGGCCCCACTGATAAGCCTTTCAATAAAAGCTTTTGAACAAAGGGACTGAGGGCCTTCCCCACTAGGGGGATGTGCCACGTCCCCTCTTAAGAGACTCCTCTTAAAGGGCCTGCATGGCCTTAGGACTTTCGCAGACCACCCCCCCCTCGGGTTCAGCACCAGGGCAACAGCTGGAAGGGAACCCGTGGTATACAGGGAGAAAGTGAAGGGACTGGAAACAGGGCAAGTTCTGGGACACAGCTTCCTTTCAGGCAAACCTCCAGAAGCCAGGCAGCGGCATTGTCCCCTCTCCAAGCCCTTCCCCAACACAGAGCCACAAAGTGGTAAAGTGGTGAAGTGGCTTGCCTTGCTCTGGTGACACCTAAGCCTCTGACTCACACAATTTACAGGTGCCTTTTCTACAATCGGCCATGCTACTAACACAGGCAGTCAAAGCAACTCTACCTAATACACAGCAACAAACACAGGGAGGCTGCTGAATTGAGGAGAAAAAAATATGGCCCAAATGAAAGAACAGAACAAAACCCCAGAAAAAGAACTAAACAAAATGGAGACAACCAACCTATTAGATGCAGAGTTCAAAACACTGGTTATTGCTATTGAGTACGGCAACACCATAAAAAAGAACCAGGCAGAAATGAAGATTACATTAAATGAAAAAAAAAAATCTACAGGGAACCAATAGAGGAGGAGATGAAGCTGAGACTCAAATCAATGATTTGAAACATAAGGATGAAAAAAATGTTCAGTAAGAACAGCAAGAAGAAAAAAATTGAAAAAAATCAAAATGGGGATAGCTGAAGGAACCTCTGGGACATCTTTAAACATACCAACACCCGAATCATAGGGATGCCAGAAGGAGAAGAGGAAGAGCAGGAAATTGAAAACTTATTTGCAAAAATAATGAAAGAAAACTCCCCTGATTTGGTGAAGGGAATAGACATCCAAATCCAGGAAGCACGGAGAGTCTCAAACAAGTTGGACCCAAGGAGGTCCACACTAAGGCACATCGTAATTAAAATGCTTCAGGTTAAAGATAAAGAATCTTAAAAGCCACAAGAGAAAAGCAGAGAGTTACCTACAAAGGAGTTCCTATAAGACTATCAGCTTATTTCTCAAAAGAAACTTTGCAGGTGAGAAACTTTACTGGCAAGAAGTATTCAAAGAGATGAAAAGCAAGGACCTACAATCTAGGTTACCCTGTCCAGCAAAGCTATCATTTAGAATTCAAGGGCAGATAAAATGCTTCCCAGACAAGGTAAAGCTAAAGGAGTTCATTGTCACCAAGCCACTATTACATGAAATGTTTAAGAAAAGGAAGAAGATCACAACCATGAACATTAAAATGACAACAAATTCACAACTATCAACAGCTGAATCTAAAAAACAAACTAAGTTAACAACCAGAACAGGAACAGAATCATAGATACGGAGATCATTTGGAAGGTGATCAGCTGGGAAGGGGAAGGGGGAGAATGGGGAAAATAGTGCAGGGTTAAGAAGCATAAATAGTAGGGACAAAATAAACAGGAGGATGTTAAGAGTAGTATAATAAAGGGAGAAGCCAAAGAACTTATATGTATGAGCCATGGACATGAGCTAAGGAGGGGATTGCCAGAGGGAATGGGGGTACTGGGCAGAGAGTGACAAAGGGGGAAATTTGGGACAACTATAATAGCATAATCAATAAAATATAGTTAAAAATTCAAAATACAGACATAAAACTTGGGAATAAATTCAGTTAAAGAGTGAATCTCTGATATATAAAGAACTGAAAATCTAGAAGAAAGAACCCATAAAGCTGATAGAAGAATAGGCAAAGATCTGCACAGATTATACAGTACGATATATTTAAAAAATAATGAAAAGAGTCTCAACTTCACCCATATTAAGAGAAATAAAAATAAATATAAAAAATGGTATTTTTCTCACAGGTGATCAAAAAATTCAAAAGTGAAACAGGACACTGCATGGACATGGCTGGTTTTTTTGGGGGGCAGGGCATGACTTATGTTGCAGGATATCTTTTTTTCCTATACATTTACTTTCATCCTATCCATGTGTTTATATTTAAGTTGGGTCTTTTGCGAACAGCACAAAATTGGGTCTTGCTTTTTATTAAAATCCAGACTGACAATCTCTGCCTTTTAATGGGAGTGTTTAATCTGTTGGTTTTGAATGCAATTACTGAGAAGGTTGGGTTGAAGAATATCACATTGCTATTTGATTTCTTTTAGCGTGATTTATTCTTTGTTCCTCTGTCCTTCTCTCCCTGCCTTCTTTTGTTGTATCTCAATTTGTCTTCTTTACTGGCTTTTAGTTATATCTCTCTATATTATTTAATGGTTCTAGGACTACAATATGACCCCTTCACATATAACAATGTACTTTAAATTCATTGCAGAGAGGAGCCCTTTCTATCTGAAGAGGCTGGTATAGCACACAGTGGCCAGCAAGGAGTCTGAGTCTAGAGGCCAGCAGTGACTCAGGGAAGAGGCTGAAAGGGACTAAGGCTCCTGAGCAACCAGGAGGTCAGTAGATACTGACCACATGTTGGGGACACTGGGCTGGATATGAGGGGTTGAGCTGGCTCTGCCCAAGTGAGAGATGGGCCAGGTCTTCTGGAGAGTCACCTTGCCAGCCCTGCCCCCCAAGGCCCTGCACAGGCCTGGTCACATGGTAACCCTCAGCCAGGGCATAAGCTGGGGTGGCAGTTCGGTGATGAGCCCCCGCTGGAACCCCGGAATGCTGGGTGTCTTATGTGGGAGGGGTATGAGGAAGTGGAGAGCACAGATCAGTGTGGTCTGGTCTGGAGGGGACAGGAGCTGGTGGACTCTGAGAACTCTCAGTGGTGAGCAGGGATGGAGAAGAAGGGTCAACCGTGAGACTGGAGACCAAGCGTGGCTGTTAGCTCAGAGGGGGGCAGAATCGGGCAAGGAAATAAATTCAGCCCAGAAGAGGATGAGGAGTTTCTCGGCTTTTGCTTCCTTCTCCTCTCCTCTCCCTCACCCCCACTCCCACCAAAAACAAACAAACAAAAAAACACAAAGCTGCCACTTTCCTGGCTGTGGGAGAAAATGTCTTGTTCAGGAAGCTAGAGGCCACTTCCTCCCCGCCCTGCCCACCAGTGTGGTGGAGCTATGTCTTGAGCTGAAGCCCCAGGCTGTGCCTGCTGGGTGTCCAGCATGCAAGGTGTTATTCCCTTCCTCTCTGCCGTGTAACAAGGGGAAGGAGGTAAGGCATTTACGCTGAGCCCAGGACCTGAGAAATTCATATTTTCTCTTCACAGTGCTCTGTTCTGCCCTGGCAGAAGGGCAGGCCTTGGATGTATGGCCAGGAAGGAGCTGGGTAGCAGCTTTGCAAGGGGTTTGGGGTGGTGGTGGGGGAAGGGAAAAGAGGAGGAAACAGAACACAGCAGAACTGTGCCATTGACCTTCTAAGCACAGAGCTGGTGCATGTGAATGTGGGTTGAAGAATAAACAAAAACCCACTCTGCTGAGAGACTTTTATTTACTTGGTTGTTGGCACTACCTCTCCTCCCGCCCCGTGTGGTTTGGTTTAGCTCCAGAGAAGATAATCTGGCTCTTGCGATGTGAGGTTTCTCATGGTTTTCTTTATCCAGGGCAGGAAACTTGAGATTTTGGTGAAGACCCGCGGCGCCATCCCATTTTTACGTCCATAGGAGACAATGCCCTGAATCCTCTTGCCACACATGAGAGGACCCCCGGAGTCACCCTGTAGACAGAGAGAGGGAAGGACTGAGCCAGCTCTCCTGGCCCTGCCCTCCGCAGCACCCTCAGAGAAGGCTGCCTTGCATAGCCTCCATGTGGGAGATATGAGGGCACACAGGTCCCTTGGGGTCCCCTAGCCTGGATGTCATCACTGTTTTGCTTCTCCCCAGGTGGCAGCTCCTCTGCTTCCCCAGATCCTGGGTCCCCCCACTGTAAACATGTTGTGGGACTGTGGCTCCAGTCTACTGTGTAAGGACAAGAAAACAAGTAGGTGGGGCAGACACTTAGCATGGAGGACAAGCTAATTAATCAAGGTGGCTGCCGGCTCTGAGGACCCACCAGATTTAACTGCTGCACATACAGCGAACAGTTTTCTAACCACTGTGCCTCTGCATGGGCCAGAGTGTTGCAGATTCATCTTTCTGGAGGAGCACCATGTTTAGACGGACACAGGCCCTTGGTAGGCTCTCAGAGGCCCTGTTTTATGGCAGCTCTGGCTGCTCCCCTCTTCTTCCCAGAGAGAAAGATCACAGCCTAGAGAATGAAGGAGTCTCACACTGCCTGGTGCTCCAGGTCCCAGTTCTTTCCCAAACATTGCTCCCCAGACCCAAACTAGGCAGATGCTCAGGATCACCTGAAAGGAAGCCTTCTTTTCCTTCGGGTCCCCCACGCACAGTTGACTGGCCCTGCTGTAATAATAGTTAAAGAGATTTTCGCACACCGTATCCTTCTGCACTGTCAGGTATGCTTCCTGCAGAGTGTCTGAGAGTCTGTCTTGTGGGGCAACCTTTCCCCAGCCGGCCACAGCGCACTTCTGTCCTGGCCTTGGCGGGCTCTTGCCCCTGGGCAGGTGGAGGGGCTTCACAGCATTGGTTGGCTTGATGTTTCTCTCCAGCTGATGGGGAAGAGGCAAGAGAGCCCGGGTCAGCCAGTGGCCTCTGGGCCTGGACATTGTGATGGGACACCTGAGTCACTGGGACCGGTCAGGCAGTCAGGATGGGAAGGAAGGAAGGGACAGATCTCAGAGGGGAAACAATGTGGACTCAGAAGAGCAAGAGCAACAGGAGGTTTTCTTACCTGCAGTAACATGATGTCATTGGAGATGTTCTTAGCATTATAGTCTGGGTGGGGGATGGCTGTTTTCACCCGGATGACCTGCTGGGTCTCCTCTTTCTCCTGGATGTTGTGGGCCCCCAGGGTGACAGTGATTATCCTGTAAGAGAGCAGACTGGGTGTTCCTGTGGAGACAGGGAGTCACAAGAGGCAGAGCCAGGAGCCCGTGGAGGGCAGTTGTTGGCCGGGGCAGGGAGGGGCTGCAGCTAGGGGAAATCGAGGCCACAGGAAGGCATGGTGACTCTGCTTCTCAGGGACACTGAGGGTAAGGCCTCTGGGAACTTTTCCTTTAGTTCACAGGCTGACACTCAATCCACTAAGCCACACCAGCCAGGGCTAAACCTTGGGAACTTTTCCTTGTCCTCAGGTCATATCATGAAATCGCTCGAGTTTTCATTTTGACCCCAATGCATGCGTTCGTGGTCCACTGCTGCTTCATTTGGCCAGTGTGGCCCCTCTCTTCTCATCTGTTTCGCTTACTCTCACGTGTGGTTCTCTGAGCCCAAAGCCTACCTGTCCTACTTCTTATCCTTTCATTGCCCCAGCCATGGTCTCAGAGGGCTTCTCTGATGAGCTGTGCTGGGCTTCAGTTCCAGGAGCCTGGGGAGCTGCCCTGGGCTGCAGCCCCTGGGATAAAGGACAGGGGTCCCTGTAGGGGTGTCAGGAGGTATAGGCTGGCTGCTGCCCCTCACCTTCCATTGCAGTGAGCAGCTGTCAGAACAAAGTTTTCTCGCAGAAGGACACCGCCACACCTAGACTCCCCATTATCTTGAATGGAAAGGCAGGCCATGTAGGGGCGGGAGTGGGGCTTCACTTCATGTCCCCCGATGATCTCTCCTGAAGAAATAGTCTGTTGTGCTTTTGTGCACTCACTGTGTTTATGAGACAGGCATCTGCTTGATGACTCACTACTGCTGGGCACTTGGGGGTCTGAGCTGGCCTGGAGCTGAAAGGGTGTGGGGAGGGTCCTTAGTTGGAGGTGAACATACCTGCCTTAGGGACAGCAAAGGCCTAGGGGCTCCTGCAAATTCCTCTCCTGACTTCACTTGTTTTCAAGTGAATTTCTGAGGGCCTGTGGTCCTGTGATGTCCAGGACAGCACCACTTTGCAGTGGCCAGGACTTAAGTTTAGGGACCTAGATGTTGCTGAACCTCTCATCACGCCTGACATGTAGTGGGTGACCAGTAAAGGTTTGTTGGCTGCCTGCAGGAATCACTTTCAACAGGCCTCTGGAGAAGGGTTGGTAAGGCCAGTGCTGTGGGACCCTGGAGACTAGAGGGGTTGCCAACCACAGCGGCTCACCCTTTAAAGAGGGGAACTGCTAAAGGCCTGGGGAAAAAAAGCAGAGCTGGAGAAAGGGACTACGGGGCCTTGGGATGGAATAAAGACAACAGCAGTTTTCTGTGGACAGTGACCCTACCAACTGTGGGGTCTCCTGAGCTCTGGGCTTCTCTTCTAAGCAGATTCTAAGGAGAACATCCGTCTCATCACAGCCATGGAAACCTCTGCAGTTTCCTACCCTCTACCATTCACTTCCAGGAAAGTTCTACTCTCTAGATGGAAAGGGAGGGTTTGGGGAGGGGATCATGCCCACTGGCTTTTCTTGACACTAGCATTCTGCCCTGTCATTTCTGCCTATAGCTTATCTGGCATCATGATTGGAGGCCTGAGATGGGATGGGAGTTGGGCTTCAGAACATTCCTGGTGGATAGATGGATCAGAGATGTGCAGAAGGGATAAGAGTGTATGAACGCTGAAGCCTGGATTGGGTCTGTGGGGATGGGGGTGGTCACTTACCTGCCTCTGCCTCAGGGAGTAGTGAAAAGGCCAGCAGGTGTAGAAGCAGGAGTGGCCACATCTTCCAGGAAGGCTGCCCAAGTCGGAGCTTCTGGTGTTTTCCTGTGCTGTCTTTTAGTCCCCAAAAGATGAAGGAGGAACATAAGGGCTCAGTGTTCTGAGTTCCCCTCTGGTTTTATAATGCTCCCTCCTAGAAGGTTTTCTTTGAAAGCTTCTACACCCCCACGCTTCCTGCCTGATGATGTTCCCTGGGTGGTTTTGTGAAGAGGAGGAGGAAGTGACTACATCAGGACCTGCAGCTGATGACTCAGAGCAGACACCTTGTTCTAACCCAGAGTAGGAACCCAAGGGTACAAAGTGGGGACTGTAGGAAAGTGGCATTGACCAGCAGAGGTACTGGAGCCCAGAAACTTGAGTCCCTAGTGACAAAATCATCAATGCCTCATTTCCATGCTACTAACTCCATCAGGATAATTTCTTTTGCAAATGTGTGTTTAGGCCCTTCTCTGTGCTAAGGCCAAACATATGGGAGATGTATCTTCTCCCTTTAGAGCAGTGATTTTCAATCTTTTTCACCTTATGGCACATGTAAACTAATTACTAAAATTCTGTGGCACACCAAAAAAGTATATATTTTTTGCCTATCTGACAAAAAAAAAAAAATAGGTATAATTTTGATTGATTTACAAGAAATAAAAATAATAGTAATTATCTACCCTTCTTGCTCTGAAGTGATCTTTTAAAAAATCAGGTGCCTATGCTTGTACCTAGGAGTTTTGGTACAAAGAATTAACCAATCAGATGCAACCTTAGTATGCAATGTGATGGATAAGATGCAATTGTATTATATGACCTATATATTTATGCTTCAACACAGGGTAGTCACACTGGATGGCTGTCATTGTGTTGGCTGATATCATTTTTTTAATTTAACAATCTAAGGGAAAAGAGGTCAGTGCCCCTAACGAAATAGTCAGGTATTGTATGTTTTAAAAATTCTTGAAGCACAACTAGATTAATAGCTGAAGGAGACAGCCACAGACAGTAGGTTCCTGGAAGTCTCGAACAGACTGCTTAAGGTCAGACAGGGTCAACATCTTGTTGGGAAACGCCTGGCCTAATTTCAGAAGCTGTAGCCCTGCCGACAGGCTGGAGGGCCCCAAGGCTGGAGATAATCAGGAGGCCTTGGAGAAAGAGGCTCCTGAGGAGACTTGGCCTGTTTCCCCCTGGCAGGGGCATAGCCCCTGCCTCTCTGCTTTGCCATGGCTGGTCAGTTAGCCCATGATGGGTAAGGGACCTCGCGCAGAGGTTTTCAACCTAAGAGAGCTGTTGGCCCAATTTTGGCAGCAGATGAGAAATTGGGGGACACGGAGAAGGGGTGAAAAGGCCCCCACACTCCTTGGCTTGGCTTGGACATGCCCGAAGTCCTCACTGCAGCCAAGAAGCAGTCTCCTTATCTCTTAGTGGTTCCTTCCCCCGCCTGGCTCAGGCTTGAAACAATATGGGGAAAAAACAGCCCTAAATCAGATCTGGCGGATCCCGGGTAATCCCCGGGATTATTTATTTTCAGGCCTGAAAATAAATTCTATAGAGTGTGCTCTGTTCCTCCCTCAAATCTCTGGTCAGCCCATGCTGCGAAGGACATTCACATTATTTACATCCTTTTCCTTGTCAAGACATTTGTTTTATTTACACCTTTTACCCTATATCTTTAAGACACCTTTAAGTCTACTTCCCCCTTATCGATAGTCTCTATTGTTGATTCCTGTTCCCTCTCAGACCCATGTAAATCACTGATTTCCTGTCACTTGTTTTCCTCAAGGTATCTATTCTCTGTGAAACTTATCTTGCGGATGTGATGAGTATACATATGTTTTCCTGTTATACCCCACTGATAAGATTTTAAATGAAAGCCTTGGAAGAAGGGGCAACGGGGCCTTTCCAATTAGGGGGATGTGCCACAGTCTTCTCTGGTAGGAGAGAAGTGCCCCCATCTGCTCTCCCAGCAAACAGAGAAGTGTTTGTACATTTATTTTTGTCCCTCTCATCTGTGACGACCCCGGGAAGGCCTCTGCGGGTTTCAGAGCCCTGCTCCCACCTCAGCTGGCCCCGAATGGTTTCTCTCAGGTTTCAGAGAGTGCTGTGTTCTCTGCGGTGCTCCCTGGAGGTGGTGTGTCCCCTATAGCCAGCCACACAGTGCAACAACAACTGACATAATCAGAGGCAGATCCAGAAAGAGAAAAACAGCGATCTCCTACCATAGAAGTTCACACCAGAAAGTCAGGAAGCCTAGACAGATCAACTTAAGAATCAGAAGCAAAAGAGAAGAGCCTCCTAAATAATGGGAAGACAAAGAAATAGCCCCCACTTGAAGGGAAAGGAGGAATCCCCAGAGAGACAACTAAGTGAAATAGAGGCAAGTAAACTATCAGATATTGAGTCCAAACAATCATTCTAAGGAAGCTCAATGAGTTCAGGGAGCTCAGAGAGGATTACCGAAAACTACAGGGAAACTAAGAGGAACTAACTGCAAACTATATCAGCATGAAAAAGGACATAGGAACTCTCAGCAAGAGGCAAGAGGAAATGAAGAATACAATTTCTGAATTGAAGGACACAGTAGAAGGAATCAAAAGCAGGGTAGATGAAGCTGAGGACCGAATCAGCGAGCTGGAGGACAAGGTAGGAAAAAGCTCCCAGAAAGAGCAAGAAAATGAAAAAAGACTAAAAAAGAATGAAGAGACATTAGGGAAATGCAGGACAACCTGAAATGTAATAATATCCATATAATAGGGGAACCAGAGGGAGAAGAAGAGGAAGAAGGGATAGAGAACTTGTTTGAAAAAGTCATGATGGAAAACTTCACAAATTGGAGGAGAGAAAAAGTCACACAAGTCCAGGAAGCACATAGTTCCATTCAAGAGGAACCCAATGAGGCCCACTCCAAGACACATCATCATTAAATTGGCAAATATTAAAGACAAACAGAGAATCCAAAAGCAAGCAAGGGAGAAAGAGGTAGTAACATATAAGGGAGCCCCAACACAGCTAGCAGCTGACTTCTCAACAGAAACCTTGCAAGCCAGAAGGGACTGGCAAGAAATATTCCAAGGAATGAAAAGCAAAGGTCTGCAACCAAGACTGCTCTACCCAGCAAAGCTCTCAATTAAAATGGAAGGCAAAATAAGGAGTTTCCCAGACAAAAGAAAGCTAAAAGACTATACCTCCACCAAACCAGCACTGCAAAATATGCTAAAGGGACTGCTTTAAGATGAAGAAAAAGTTTCTATGAATACCCAGTTCCTTTCAGAGTTGCCAGTACTTGATATTACCAATATTTTTAATACTTATTAATCTCATTGTGGCAGTGGTGTGTTATTTTAATTGCTGCTTTATTATTTGTTGAAACATAAACCTGTTTTTGTATATTTCTTGCCTATTTCTATTATTTTTAAAAAGCTTTAAATGACTTTTTGGTATTTTTAATCCATTTTTTGACTAAATGTTTGTAGAATTTTTTCCCTAAAAAAACCCAAACAAACAAAAAAGAAAACCTATTAACCATGTTTTAGATGTGTGCAAATAATTTTCTATTCTATTCCTGATCCTTTAACTTTTTTTATATGTATATTACTATATAATTAAATGTTTAATATAGTCATAATGTCAATGTTTACTTTATAGCTTCTGGGTTTGAATATTTTACTTCAGGTCATGAAAAATATTAGTTCTATTTTCTTCTAAAACTCCTTAGATTCTACATATTGATTTCTAACTCACCTGAATATTTCTTGTATAATGTGTGAAATAGGGCTCTATATGTGTTTTATTTCAAGTAATAGTGGTCCATGCATCTTATTTGCTGAATAAGCCTTATATTACCCATTGATCTGAAATACCAATTTAATCATATATTATATTGTTAGATATATATGTTTGTCTCTAGAATGCTCATTATATTTCATTGATCTACTTGATTATTTCTGTGCTGATATCAGATTGGTTTAATTGCTGAGACTTTATAACAGTTTTAAATTTTTTTAGTATTTTATAATTAACTTTGACATCTAATGAAATCAATATGCATTTAAGAAAGAAAGGAAGAAAGAAAAGGAAGGAAGGAAGGAAGGAGGGAAAGAAGGAAGGAAGGAAGGAAGGAAGGAAGAAAGAAAGAAAGAAAGAAAGAAAGAAAGAAAGAAAGAAAGAAAGAAAGAAAGAAAAAGAAAGAAAAGAAAAGAAAGGTGGAACTCCAACCTTTTGAAACAACATGGATGGAACTGGAGAATATTAAGCTAAGTGAAATAAACCAGTTGGTGAAAGACAAATACCTATGCTCTCACCTATAAGTGAACTCTATTCAACAAAATAAAGTAACTAACAAAATAAACCACAGGCATGGAAACATGGAGCAGACTGAAAGTGACCAGAGGGAATGGGGAAAGAGGACAAAGGTGGAAAGAAGGGGAAGGGACTAGACAAAGAACATGTATGAATGACCCGTGGACATGGACAACAGAGTGGGAATTGACTGTGGGAGCGGGGATGGGGGTGGGATGGGTGGAGGGGGGTAAAAAGGTAAAAATTGAGACAACTGTAATAAAATAAACATGATTTATAAATTTAAAAGAAAGTGTAATCTTAAATGTAAAAAAAAAAAAAAAAAGAAAGAAGGAACTCCTACCTTTTGCAACAACATGGATGGGACTGGAGAATATCATGCTAAGTGAAATAAGCCATTCGGTGAAAGACAAATACCATGTCATCTCACCTATAAGTGGAATCTATTCCACAAAATAAACTCATGAACAAAATAAACCACAAGTATGGAAACATGGAGCAGACTGAAAGTGACCAGAGGGGATGGGGAAGGAGGACAATGGTGGAAAGGAGGAGAAGGGACAAAACAAAGAACATGTATGAATGATGCATGGACATGGACAACAGAGTGGGAATTGATGGTAGGAGAGTAGGGTGGGGAGGGATCGGTGGGGGAGGGCAAAGTGGGAAAAATTGAGACAACTATAGTAAAATAAACATGATATTTAAAAAAAGAGTATGTTAAGTAAAAAATCCTTGAGGCACACCTGTTGA